ACTGGGTTATTCCACCTGCCACAGCACTGTTCAGGGGCCAGAGTGTGGATTTTTCATGCTGGGAGGCAGATGGAGAGAAGGAGGGGAACGAGGAGGGAAGAAAGTGAACACATCAGGGGCGAGAGTGCAAACAGAGCAGTGAGCGAGAATGGATTCGGTGTCAGTTTCTGTGACAGATGAGAGATAGAGCCGTGTGAAAGAGGGGAAAAAAATTAGAAATGTGTTGATCACATCAGAGGTGAGAAGGTGACAGACCTGATCAGCTGCTGTAACAAGTGTGATGTAAGTCAGCCGAGTGACAGGAGGGCGCCGTGGAGTCACACCGAGCTGTGACTCATTTCTACAGAAGACGACGAAAGGAAGGAGGTGAAATAGTTACTTAAATAAAATGTTTATTTCCTCTTCACAGTTAATGATTACCCAAGTGTAAACTTCTGAAGAAATGGCTGATAAAAACCCTCTTTCACCAAACTCCACCTTAGTCAGCCTGTAAAGGGCAGTCTTAGGTCAGAGGTCGAACACCATGACACAGCATCAGGACACAGAGTATATATTACATCGATTGACACAGCATCAGGACACAGAGTATATTATATTACATTGACGCAGTCCTTCTCAGCCAGACGTGGAATTGTAGAAGTTCAAGCTGTTCTGACGAAGCAGAAAGAAAAAAAAATTAAGGATATTTGTGCAACAGCGCCCTCCAGTCAATATAGAGCTACAGTTTGTAGAAGGCCTGGCCTTCAATCCTGTTGTTATTGTTAGTTCCTGAGCCGATCAGGAATGAATGGACCAATTATATCCTCTGAATACAACATGGAAATGAAGCTAAGATACTAAATTATACAACAAATTGTAGAATCTGGACTACAGAACTGAATTATTGTCTGGATTATTATGGCAAGTTTGGGGCTGCATTTCTGCAGACAATATTTGAAAATTTGGTCACGTTTTAAGGAGCACATATTTATGTGTTAAAATTAATAAAACAAAATATAACATAACAATATATTTTATTTTATTATTAATTAATACATTACATTTTTGTTTGTTTTACAGCGTCTGTTCAAATCTAACGGTTTACGTCGTGGCTGTGTTCCTTTAAGAACGCAAGAGGGCGCTGTAACCCTCCCAGAAACATCGGTCCCAGTCAGTGTCAGTGACGTGAACAGGGAGCTGCTCTGTGCTCACGGTGGTCCTACTAGTTAAGAACCACATGACTCGTCAATAAATGCAAATAAATGCAGAATTTAGAGGCTGTGTAGAAAAATGTTTTAGTTTAAGTTTTCATTACAAAAAAACAAAACAAAAACAAAACAACACGAGTAAAGGCAACGGTGATAAAGTCAAGTTTCCTGACGAGATTTAAGTTAATAAAATATTGTTTTCCCTCCTCTGTCTTCTTCTTCTCCTTTTCTTTTCTTTTCTTCTTCATTTCGTGCATCGTCGATAATGTTATATATTAATAAAACACGCATAATAATTAATCATTATTGAGTCTAAACCTTTACATAAATCAAAGTAATGCTCTGACAGATTTATGCTGATGAGTTTACATTTGATTCTCCTTTTCATTTTTACGACATTTTTACGACATTTTACTTAAATTACACGACATAAATGACATTCCTGAAACTTTTTTTTTTTTTCCCGTAACGCTTCTGGTTAACTGTGAAAAATCTGTCGTTTCGAATCATTATATTGTAGTAACATATATTTATACTTGTACTTGTATTTGAGAGTATTCTTTCAAGTTCTCTGTTTTTTTTTTTACTTGTCGAATGTGCGGCGGCTTCCGCCAAACTATGCAAACGCCAGTCACCTTCACTGGTTTCCTATTGGTCACTCGGCTCTCAGCGTGGAGGCGTGGTTTTTAGGAAAGTTCCTTAAACACGATTGGTCGTGGCGTCTTGGTGGGCGTGTCAGTTTATTTCATTCACAAATCCTGCAGCGGAGCTTCTGTGAGTGTCCCCGGGGAGAAGCCTCTGTCTGTACTGCAGTACCCGGGCTGCAGCCACACGAGTCGGCCGTGTGTGCTGTGTAATCCACGGACCTTAAACACCGGTTCACAATGCTAACGGCTAAGGGTTTATTTAGCATTTGAGGCAGGAAGTTCCTGAAGCAGGAAGTTCTGGAAATTATACTCAATCACAGATCTAAAATTCAAAAGGAACTGTTTTGTTTCATATATATATATGTGGCTTTATATTATTTTTTATTTATACATTTATATAAAATATATATTATTATTTATAATACCATAGAGATTACTAGAAATCTTATGTGTTTTTATGGTACTGTACCAGAGGCCTCCACCAGGGGGGTTCATAAAGTTCCATATGTATCTACTGTCTCTCTGTTAGTTTTAGGAACTCGTTTTTCAGGCCCTGACTCTGTGTCTGCTCTGTGAAAAACAACTGTTCACACTCACAGCTGTGGCCAACTTAGAGTCAATGATTCATCCAATCACCTTCCATGTGGACTGTGGGGGAAACGGCAGTGGTAAACACACACACACACACACACTTTATTCTAAAATACATTCCAGATGGCTTAAATGAGGAAATGTAAAACAACCAGAAAAGTTATTTTAAACTTCCCCTTCAGTCTTCAAACCTGCTGCTGTCAACTCAAAAGTGAATACAAAGTTCATGACATAAAAACATAACTTTAATCCACTGGGACGACAATTTGAAGAGTAAACTCATCAACTCAAACTCTATTTTAAACTATTTTTAATGCATGAAAAAAAAACATATATGTGTGTTGTCATTGTTGTTGTTGTTGTTGTTGTTGTTGTATTCCAATTTCTGGATGATCCAGACTTTTGGTACCGTCTACTGCAAGACCCCAAATGACCCTGTTCACCCAGGGACCAACTTTCCTTGAAAAACCTCCGGAGAGACAGACAGACGGAGAGACAGACAGACAGAGAGACAGACAGACAGAGACAGACAGGCGATGGAGTTTGTTCTGTTTTTATCAGCTCTCCTTGTTTCAGGTGAAACCTGAGACTCTGTGCAGCCCGTGTGGAGGGAGAGGAGACACTTCAGTGTGTCCTGAAGCCTGCCTCCCTCAGGCAGATCAGTTATTCCAAGTGGTGTGTGTGTGTGTGTGTGTGTGTGCGTGCGTCGTGACCACACCTGCTGCAGCGTCGGTGGCCTGAGAGAAACTCTCATGTGTTTTTTTTTTTTTTTTTCACCAGCTGCATTAAAGAAATGTCGGTGAAGTCACAGCGGGACGTTCACGTTAAACAGTGTCAAATTCACATGAATATACTGCGCTGTCGTTGGGCTCCCCCTGCCTCACCCCGACGTAAGGACGCCCTGTCATCTGAGGACACACGGTCCAGCAGTAAGACACGAAGGGAATCATTGACTCCATGTTTTTCAGACTCAGCTTGCTGTTTTTTTGACATGTCTGTTGCTCAGTTTCTCTCCTCAGACACCGGCAGTGAAAGGCCGTCGCCGCTCGTATTGGAAACAAATTTGTCACATTGAACTTTGACCCACTTCATCAGCAAACAGTCCTCCCACAGGCTTAGGCTTAACACGGCCGTTCCTATTGAATTCTCAAGCATGTCAATACAAGGCACCGTGATGGGTGGAAGGAACCAACCACAGAAACCAGTATGGGGGATGGGAACTGGGAGGATGGGAGGATGGGGGCGGTGGGGGCGGACTGGTGAACTCAGAGGAGGTTCACTGGGTTCATGTGATGCATAGGAATGTTACTGGGGGGGAGGCTGGGGGGTTGGGGGGTGGAAGTCTTTTTCTGTTGACCTGGTCTCTTTTGCGTGTGCAACACAAACACAGACCTGGGTTTACCATTACCAAAGGTTAAACCTTTTACTGTTGGGACAATAGGGGGAGATGGTTTACTCACCTGGTGCCGATGGTCCTCAGTGGACGTGGCTCATGGTTAAAATGAGTGTGCATGTGTATGTACGTGTGTGTGTGTGTGTGTTTGTCCTACATACTATGTGTATGTTGAGCGATGGGTTCAGTGGGTTCATGTGTATGTTGTATGTGTAGGGAGGGGGGGGATGGGCAGCCCATTCCCCTGACTGCAGCACGCAAGGCGCTTAGAAGCATCCCCCACTCCTCACGCTTCCTACTGGTATTTCACAACCACTAACACCAGTAGAACCAGTATGAGAATATCTACGCTGCTATTCTACACAAAGAAAGAGAGAAAATCCCAGTATGTCAGATATAAATGATGAAGAAGATGATGATGATGGTGGTGGTGGGGCAGATGACATTGATGAAGATGAGTGATCAATAAATGCTGGTTAAGCTACACTGCGTGTTTCCAGCCGGGGTCGGTGGGTTCACTGTGTGGTAGTAAAGCTGAGGGAGGGGCTGCTGCTCCTTCTCCTCAGCCATGAATCGTGGGCTTGAACAGTGACTTACTGCATTATGTTCAAACATTAAATCCCATTTGATGCTCGTGGTTGTCAATTAACCGACCGGTGACAATGACACGGAATGTTCCAGAACAGATCAGAATATATTTTCCTCTCCATTTTTTTTTTTTAATGTGGTGTTGATGCAGTTCAGACGTCGTTGAGGTTTTGACAGGAGAACTGAGTCACTCCAAATGTTTGAGTCACAAAGTCTGATAGGCAAGTTTGTCTCCAAATGTTTGTCTGATAGGCAAGTTTTTCACTCCTTCTAAGAAAATGTAGGAAAATAGAAAAAAAAACTCATACAAATCTGAAGAAGAAGAAAGAGTTCTAGAAAATAAACAAGCACTAGAACTGTTACTAGACAGGCTGACGTGTCACGGTCCAGGAACCTAAAACAGTACCTCCAGGATAAAGAACTCTCAGTCTCTCAGTTTCTACTGTTGCTACATGGTGAGAGTAAAAGGCACCAAGAGTTTTCAGTCAGTTATTCACAGTTCTGCTCTGACTGGAACCGTATGAAGAATCCAGTTTAGTGAAGTGACAATGAGACTGTTGAGAAGTTTGGACCAAACCATGGACGGAGAAACCTCACGGTTGTCTGAGAAATCTGAGACTTTTCTGTGTGAAAAGGAAATCATTCACAATAGAACATTTGTAGTCTTCTAGTCTATGAATTTAAATTAATGTTATTCCATGTTTTTTTTTGTTTATTATCTCTTCAAAACCAAGCAGTTCAGTGGAACAAAATAAGGTTCACGGTTTTCAAAAGTACCCAAAAAATCTCTTTAAATAATAGAACTAAATATGAACAAAACTCCTGAATTCCAAACAGACGCCCTGGAATTTTTTAGCAAGTTTTTAGCATCATTAATTGGTATAAACTCTGATGTTTACACCTTAAGCTTGTATTTTCTTGAGTACTGTTTTTTTTTCCATGTCGTACCAGTTATTACCAGAGATATTTTTCAGGGTTTTTTTTTTTTCAATCACTGATTCTTCTCCCCATTGACTGTCTGATCTTATCAATGCAATTTCCAGAAGTTCAGATTTATTTATATGTACAGTTTATTTTTTAATCAGATCCAGTTGTCACTCAAATAATTGTTTTTCTTTGTAATGATCATGTTTTAAAAACACTTAAATTCTCCCATTTTCGAGGTCTAATAACAACAACAATAACAATAATAACAATAATAATAACTAATAATATTGTTCATGTGGTGACGAACTGCTGTGATCCAGAGTCCGTGTCTCAGTGTCGGTCACTGTTCCTCTCCTCCTCATTAGTTTTCATCAGAGCTCATCAGTGTGATGTCGGAGTTGCATAAGGTTCTTCGTTTATGAGGCGCGTGCACGGCTGCTTCTATTTTCAGTTGCCGAAGTTGACGGGAGGGGCGTGCGCGTCCACAGAACCGTGAGCACCATGACTATACCGTGATCCTCCCGTGCCGGCGCCGCGCAGCGTGCGTGTATTTACCAGCTGTAGCCGTAGTAGCGCAGCCCGGGTCCCGCACCGCAAACACATGAGTGGGCTGGGCCGGGAGTGACCCGGGCCGCGGGCCAATGACGGTCCGGTAAAGCCATCACTGGCTAAAACGTTTGGCCAATGGCGCGCTTCGCCGACAGGCCTGCAGCCAATGGGATGGGCGCAAAGCGTGAGCACGTGGATCCGCGCACATGTTGACGCTCGTAAAGTGTGGAGAGGAGGAGAGAGCGTCGGTGAGCGGCCGGGTGGAGGGAGACGGAGGTACGGAGTCAGAAGGAGAGACCGAGGGAAGGAGAGACGGAGAGGTTGTTGCCCCGGCGCTGCTGCCCCAGCTGCGGACTCAGCCCTCACCCATCTGTCGGTGAAAGCACGGGACAGAGAGAGAGAGAGAGAGAGAGGCAGCGTTCAGGCAGCGGCTGTTTTTATTCTCACAATTCTGACGGTGAGTCGGAGTGTGTGAGTGGGAGCGAGGGGGTGTGTGTGCGAGAGAGAGAGAGGGAAAGGGGGAGAGAGACTATGGTCTCCCGAAGTTCGCACTTCACCCTAACGGAATGTCCTGTCCTGAATGTTTCCTGCGCGTCCCCGTTACATTATATTCCAAAATTCCCAAACACTGCGCAGAATCTAATCCGGAATATGTTCGTAATTTGGGCGATAATTTCACAATTTTAAAATCAATACTTTTGTTTTGACTGGATTTTTTAAATATATATATATATTTTAAATCACGGTTTCTCCGACTATTTTGCTGGTGTGCGTCATCGGGTCGTGGTGTTCATCACATGTGGTCCACATGGACCGAACCTTCAGTCTGAGCTCCGGCGGCGGTGGTGATGCAGAGACACGGACAGGGACACGGACACCTGAGCCGCTGCAGCCTCATGGTCCATCCTGTACCTGTCAGCTCTGCACCACCACCACCACCCCCCCTCCCTCACCCAGCTCACTACTGACCACACTGTTAATGACTCAAACATGATTATAGAAATATAAATATTCTAATTTAATGATTGACTTCTTCCTGTTATTGTTTCACTGAAACAATGTCACATTGGGCTGAAAGAGGAAACTGGTCTGAGGAGGAAATCAGCCGTCAGTCACACAGAGTGTGAATGGCTCAGCTCTCTGTCTGTTCTATAGGGGGGTGGGGGTGTGGGGTTGGGGGGGGGGGGGGGGGGGGTGGAGTGGTGAAATCTTCCAACAACAGTGATTTTCTTGTTCATTTCTCGTCCGTGTGGACAGACTGTGGATGAGAGAAGAAAAAAAAAAAGAGAGACATTTCTCACAGCTCGTCTTTGTCTGACGGGCTGTTGTGGCTAAATGTGTCGTAGTGACGTACAGAGCCGTGTCGGCCGCGGCGTGTGTTTCCAGTGACCCCCTCCGTGAGGCAGGGATCAGAGAGCAGCGGGTGAGAAAGGTGAGAGGGGGAGGCACATGGTCAGAGATACAGACTGTAGAAATGTGAAGGGAGGAGGAGGAGGAGGGAGGGGTGGTCTGTGGACGAGGAAAGGAAGCTGGTGTGTGTGTGTGCACGTGCACGTTACCAACAGGATGAGCTGAAGGGGAAGGGAGAGAGAGAGAGAGAGAGAGAGAGATGAGAGGCATACAGAGACACAGCCGGAGAGGAAAGAGAGAGAGTTTTGGGTTTAAAACCAAACGGGGGGATGAAGCACAAGTCTGAGACAGAGAGGGAGGGGCGGGGGGGGGGGCAGAGAGAGGGGGGGGAGAGGGGGGGGGGAGAGAGAGAGAGAGACTATTCTGATTTCATTACCCCACAGACTCCCATCCCCCCCTCACATTTGACTCTCCCCTCCAGTCTCCTCAATGGGAGCCAGACATGCTCTACCATTGTTGTGCCCAGCTCCAGCTCCAGCTCCACCCTGCACCACCCTAAACTAGGGCAGTGGTAGAGTCTCCATCTTCAGTCATTTGGGTTAGGCTTTTTGGGAGAGGTGTGTGTGTGTGTGTGACATGTGAGTTTTGCCAAAACAGGAAGAGGTCGTTCTGCAGTGTTTTTGTGTCTCTCTCTCACCCGTCCCCCTGACTCCTGCTCTGAGTTTTCACCCAAGCAGTTTACTCCCCCATCCTCTCTCCCCCTTCCTCTCCCCCCTAAGGCCTCACTGCGTGTCCTTCTAACCCCTGCTCTCTGCTGCCGCCCTAACAGCGATGCAGTCTCAGGGCAGCACCTCCTCCCAGCCCTCCTTCGACTCCCTGAGCTCCAGCGACAGCCTCCTCCTCAGCGACTCAGATCAGGTGGAGGACGACGCCGACGTCTTCCTGACGGACAGCCCGTCCACGGGCGGAGCCGCCGCCACCGATGCCGGCAGTGGAGACGTGGGGTCGGAGAGTCCCGGGTCCCAGTGGATGTGCGACGGCTCGACAGATAAGGAGGAGGAGGAGGAGTCGTCGTACGGGCCGCGGAGTGGAGTCAAAGGAGGCGACGCGGGTCTGGAGGAGGCCGGTCAGGTGACCAAATCAGAAGGAGATCTGATCTTTGCCCAGAAGGTGAGGAACCTGAGGATGAGACCGGACGGTGGGGACAGAATGTCCAGAATGTCCAGAGTCAACAGTCTCAGTGGTAATCTGTCTCTTGTCCTCCCCCTTGTGTCAGTGCGCGGAGCTGCAGGGCTTCATCCGACCGCTGCTGGAGCTGCTGAATGGACTGAAGAAGGGCCGGTTTGAACGAGGTAAGCATCTCCTGCCAGACCGGAGTGTGTGTGTGTGTGTGAATGTGTGTGTGTGAGTGTGTGTGTGTGTGTGTGTGTGTGGACTGAGGCGTAGGTGCTGAACACAGGTTTATGTCTGCCTGCCCTCTGTCTCCTGCAGCAGAGTGCTGTAGTGTGTGTGTCTGTGTGTGTGTGTGTGTTGTGACACACTCGTGGCTGACTCATCTGCTCAGGAGAGTGTGCTGATGTCACACAGCAGTCGTGTGTGTGTGTGTGTGTGTGTGTGTGAGACGGTGACACACACTGACTGTGTCTGTGATTGACAGGTCTGAGCAGTTTCCAGCAGAGCGTCGCCATGGATCGGATCCAGAGGATTGTGGGGGTTTTACAGAAACCTGACATCGGGTGAGACATCCTCTACACCCCCCTTCACCCTCTCACCCCCCCCACCACCTGCCGTCACAACATCTTAGTTTAATTAATCAAAGACTATACCATAACCGACCAGCAGGGTGATCTTCCTGCTCCAGTGTTTTTTCTAACCTGACTAACTCAGTGATTGACTTAACTCTGCACTAACTCGTACGACGAGACGTTTCCCCGACGGTGACGTCACCCGTTGCTGACTGTCCGTCCGTCCGTCTCCAGGGGGAAATACCTGAACATTCTGCTGCAGGTGGAGATGATGCTGAAGATGTGGTTCCCTCAGATCCCCACCCGACCGGCCTCCGCAGCCTCCACTCTGGGCTCCGCCCCTGCCCTGACGCACCAAGGCACATCCACCTCCACACCACCACACAAGCACAGGGACCAGCGCCACATACCTGTCAAGGTGAGAATACACGTCGGGCGGCGGGCGTTCACTTATCTACGGTAAGGTTGAGGGCGGAGCCAGAGACGATCCCAGCAGTCATTGGGTGAAGGTGGGCTACGGTCCATGACTGGGCCACATGAGGAGACCTATTTTAGGCCACATCACATACGTATTTCACAACTAAACAAAATGATATATAAGAAATATAACGATCTTAGCGCCTCCACCTGTTTAGTTGAACACAACTCACAGGAATTGAAGAAAAACAAAGAATGATTCTCCAACAGCTCTAAAGATGTTGTTTTTAATTTTTACAGCCATCTGCTGCCACCTAGTGGACGGGTCTTTAATTCCGCCTGTTGCTGTCACATCCATGAACAAAGACAAATCTTCCTGCAGTAAAGAAACAATAGTTTCAAAGCAATTAGGTGAAATTGGATCATTTTTTGGGGAAATCCCAAAAAAAAAAAAAAAAATTCCAAATAAGATTTTTATCGTCTCAATGGCTAAAGCCAAATACTGGTCCCTGGCCCGGAGGTTGGAGACCCTTGAGGTCAGGGACTCAAATGAAAAGAAATGAACTTGAAATTAAACTGTTTAACTCTAATATAATTAAATATATTCCAACAGGATTATAACGATGTACAGTATATATTTCTGTGAATATACTAAATATATTTTCTCGTTAGTAACTTTTTGTTTGTCTTTGCAGAAGCGAAGGCTCAGCTGGACAGGTACGGACGCCCCCCCTCCCCCCTCAGGTCTACTCAGGGGCTCACGGAGCCGAGCAGAAGGAAAGAGGACGAAGCCAGACCAAGGTGAAAGGCACACAGCTCCTCCTCCTCCTCCTCTTCCTCCTTCTCTTCCTCTTCCTCCTCCCACTCCACCACCGTCACTGTCATGTGACGTAGGTCAGAATGTTGCCACTAAAGGTCAGGAAAGTGACGACCCGCAGGGAAAGGACAGTGACGGCAGGGCGTCCAATTACAAAACAGGTCAAAGTTCAGAGCCGAGCCTGACGTGGGTTCACGTCGCCCCCATCCTGTCGCCGGGTAAAACCTGCCCCTCGCACGAGGCCCCACCTCCGGCGGGCAACAGTGAGAACCAGCCTGTGACCCCCACCCCCCTCGTCCCACAGGGGAGGGGCAACCCTGCCACACAGGACAGCGCCGTCTCCTCCACCACGCCTGCCAAGCACCCCGGAAATCTGAAGATGCCCCCCCGGTGCCAAAGCCAGCCTGTTGATGGACAACAGAGGGAGAAGGAGAGGGAGGGGGAGGGGGAGACAGTCGCCGCCGCCGCCACCGCCGTCTGTCAGGGTCAACAACAATCTACTACTCCTGTCGTACTTGAGCCGTCGCCGGGGGTTTGCCCCGCCCCTTGAAACACCCCAATGCACTAAAGAAGGAAAGAGCTGACAGCAGCCCACACTCTGCTCAACACTGCTGTGACGGGGAGGGGGGACGAGGGGGTAAAAATAGGGGGGTAGATTCTTTGATGTCAGTGAAAGAAACACAACAAGTCCAGTAACTGTTAGCATCGAATACAGAAGAATATATTTGTATGAATCGACCAACCGTGAACGGAGGTTTTTAGGGAACGGAAAAAAAAATGTTGAAAAAGGAAAAAGTTCAAAGGTCAATGACCGACAAGGGAGAATCAAAAACGAGATGTTTTTGTTTTTTTTTAACAGCAGGAAGTTCTTCATGAAAATGTGAAAAGGTGACGTTTGTTTTGTTTGTTTTTTTCAGAATGAAATCCTGCTTAAATCAACTTGAAGAATATTAGGACAGGGTGAGCCATGGTTACGTACTGGTGTAGTTGTTATATGGCAGGAGTCATTCACTTGAAGAGAGAGAGAGAGAGAGAGCGAGTACACACACAGGGAGTACACGGAAATGCAGTATACAGTACACGTGGTCAGTTGTCGGATGAGTCGGTTTCATCCAGACCAGAATGTAGCCCACGTCAGTCGTCGCAGCCCCCCCCCCCCTCCCCGTCCCCCCCCAACAGCAATCATAGCGGCGTGAGTTGTGACGTCCTAACTGCTAACTAATCAACGACCAGGACCAGGATCAATCCAAGGAGGACTATTCAAAGACTTTCAAGGACCAGCCCCAAGGACCTCTCCAGGACCCTGAAGACCCACACTTAATTTATTCATATGTTGTTGTTCTGACTCTGCTTTTATTTATTCTGCGTATTTATTTGAAGGGCAGCTCAATATCGCCTCCTGTGTTCATGCAGGGGATTACTTTGACCTGACGGGGGAGACGCTGTTTTAAATGTTTTGTTTTTTTTATTTCTATCATACTGAGAGGACAGTGAAGGAGGTGAGGTTCCTCCTGATGACCATGTGACTACTGTGCCTTTTTTTTTTACCAAATCGTGAGGTTTTCAGAGAGAAGTATTTCGGTGCTGGGAGCGAACCGCGTTTGGATCGCTTCCTCGTATTTTACACTTTATTCCGTGAAACTCTCATACGGTCACATTTTTCACAACACACAACGGCCGCCGTCAAATACAAGCTGTAGAAAAACCCAAACCCCCAACGCACCAACGTCTCCGGAGACAACGTTCCGATCCAAACCGGATCAGTTCGACCTGCACTTAAAGTTGGTGCTCTTGAAAACTTGAAAAAAAAAATCAAAACAACGTAAACACGTAAATAAAGTAACGTGTCAATGTAACTTCTACCGCTCTGCGTTAACTGCTGCTATTCTCTCGTTCTGACTCCGCCCCCCGACGTCGTGACGTCGGCGCGCTCTTCATTTACAAACCTGCTCTCAGTGTTGTGAAGTTAATGATGTGAAACCGTTGAAAAGAGTGAAGTGTTTTTGAATTCAGTGCCGGACTCGTAGCTAAAACTCACACAGCTTCCAGTCACACAGACAGACAGACAGACAGACACAGCGACCCCTGGTGGCAGGGCTGGGGGGGGGGGGGGTGGGGGGGGCTTCTGGGGGGGGGGGGGGGGGGGGGCGTCTTCCAGCCCACTCCTGTGTTGATACGGTCGTAACAGACCGACCTACTGCACTTATTTGTTATGGTTTTATTTCCTGTATTTTCATATGTTTTCTACTGTTGGGTCAGGAATCAGACACTGTTCATTTGTAGCTCCCTTCTCTCCCGTTTCGTCTTCCTATGACAAAAGCCCACCATAGTTGCCCCTCCCTCACCTCACCCCCCTCACCCCCTCACCCTTCTTTAATCAGAGTAGAGTCATTTATTTATAAATGGAGCCGTCTCTTCCTCTCTCTCACTCCCATCTTGACTCGGTGTTATTCTGACATTTTTTTCTATAATGTTTTAAAAGTGAAAAAAAAACAACATTTTTTAAATAAATGACACATTTTTTGGAACCGGAGCAGTGTGTTGGTGTTTGACTGTAGTCCAGTTTCTGAATCAGAAATATTTCATTTTCCCTCAGGAGCAGAAACAGAAATATACAAAAGTACAAGAAATATAAAAAACTAAAAACAAGTTAGAATACAGAACAGTATTAGCATACTAATTAGCTCATTATTCATGTGTTAATGTGCACAAAACTATGGCTCGTGGACCAGAAATGGCCCCATTGGGTTTTCTCATCCGACCCTCCAAACACTAATACAATCAATCAATCCCTCTGTTTCATGCATCACAGTTCCCTTTGAAGGGCTGGTTGTAAACAGTTAACTGTATAGACGTAGCTACGTGGTTGTAAACAGTAAACTGTATAGATGTAGCTACGCCGTAACGTATTAATAAATGTTTCTGCAGCTGATTGATTATTTATTCAAGTTACAGGTATTGTAGTAAGTATTGTTCATTGCTGTGTAATAAAAAAGACCATAATTTATCAGGTTAAGAAACTCTGCTACATGGACTTTATCAAATGCTTTTTAAGCTCCTGTGGGCCCGTCAAAATTATTTTGTGGGCTGCATTTGGACCCCGGGTGGACTGGGTCAGGGTCCAGGACCGACCTGAGCTCTGACAGCGTCTGTGTGACGTGATGTGACGTGACGTGACATGCGACTCGTTTCCAGCCTCCACGTACCTCACAGGTGACTCACGGGGGAGCAGATTTAGATGCTCTGTATTTTATATGTGTGGGTGAGGAAGAGAGGTAAGACGAGGAAAAAAGGAGGGACACCAAAGTGAGAGACTACAGGCCGATGGTGTGACTGGCAGCAGGAGGCAGGAGATTCTGGAGATTCTGGAGATTCTGGAGATTCTGGTTTCTTTGACTCGTTGTGTCGCGGAGCTCTGGGTTCGTTTGTGGATAAATATTTATGAAGGGTTCAGATTCTTTTTCTCCTCCACCTCTGGTCCCAGTGTGGTGTATTTTAGTGTAAACTGGAGCTGGTTGGTTTTTAAACTTTAAGTCTCTCTGGGTTTCCTCAGCACGCACAAGAACCAGAGCTTCATCTTGTCAAGGTCACGGGCGACGGTGACCCACTTCTGGAGATAGAAACTGTAGAAACTGTAGAAACTGTTCTGAAATGTCTGGACTCCTTTTCTATTTTCCTCTGAAATACAGTTCAAGGTTTAATGATATTTAGATGCAGTGGGTGGAGCCAATCCCAGCAGCCATCGGTGAGGGCGGGGCCACAGCCCTGGACAAACCACCGTTCACACTCACGTTCACACCTGTGGTTAGTGTGGAGTGAACACGTGACCTCATGGTGAATGTTTTTGTTTAAGGAAAGGTCACGGACGGGGAGGATGGGAAGTCCATACAAACAGACCGGGAATTGAACCAGTGACCTTTTGGCCCTAAGGTCAAGGTGTGCTAACAACTTCTTCAACTGTGTCAACTCAACTGTGGCTACATGTTTTTTTAAAGATTAATGTATAGCTAACTTATAGCTAAGAGGTAGCCATAATAACATTGTATTGATGTTATTATAAATAGTTTGATTTATTATATTTAACAGCTACAGTGTTGCCAACACAACGTGCAAATGTGGAGGTGGAAAAACACATCAGGGGTGTCTTGAAATCTTTTTTTTTTTTTTAAATGGAACGACCTGGAAATAAAATCCACTCCTGTTGGAACCAGTGTCAGACTGTGGTGACGTTGACTGAGGTCTGCAGATTCCTGACTGACAGCAGAGTCACGTCACAGCTCCTCCGTTCACCTTGAACACAGTTCTTCACCGCCGTTTCCTGGAGTCTGATCTGAAACAGAAGCTGAACAAAAGGAGACGAGAATCTTTGACACGATTCTTAAAAAAAAAACAAAAAAAAACAGGAGCGTCATTTAAGGGGGTGTGGCTCGTCTCTCTCCAACATGTGGAAGAATCAGTCGTCATGGATGCACACACACACACACACACACACTCTGTTTTTTGGTTTTATGTTTTGTGGCACAATCCCAAACCCCAAACTCTAGCTTTCAAAAATATAAGCCTAATCTAAATCCTGATCCGAAATCTAAGTGTAAACCTAAAAAAAACCCCAAAACTCTCAATCTGGAGACCTGTGAAATGTCCCCATGAGGACAAAGTGTCCCCACCAGTATAGATGTACCAGAAACCCACACACCCCCTCAGATATAAACACAGATGCTGGCGCCCGTGCCGCTCCTCTAGACTCGGCGCCTGGTGGACGTGGTGATGGTTCTGTCTCTGACAC